ACGGCGCCATTGTTGTTGTGATGTGTCGCGCTTGCGTGTTTAGAGGCGGCGCTATGACGCATGCGTGTAAAAAAAAAATGCGGTTAGGGTGTAAAGATGGAAACCCGAAAACGGCGTTTCAGAATCTTCCCACTCTGAAGGGTGAATAAAAAAATGATCGTTTACAGACCTCCGAAACGCCGGCTTCGTGTGGATGAGAGGCTGGTTTGGTGAAAAAATTTGTGCGTTTAGGCCAGGGTTCGTCTTCGTGTGGACGGGGCCTAAGTGGATTCCTGTTTGAAAGTAGAACCAAGATTGTCTCCTTTCTCCATTGGAGCAAAGAAAACTGCATCTCTGTCTCTGTTGCACATCTTAAGAGAGCTGATGTAGAAAGAGCACCTAATCAAACAAAGATTAAACAGTACAACAAGCATTTCAGAACCCATACCAGTAAAGTTGTCTGACTGCTCACCCCAAACCGCTGAAACATCTTTTATTGTGCCAGAATTCTGTTTCTGGAGTCAATTTTCTCATTCTTACAGATCCCTGGACCAGTACCTGAATTGGGCAAGCAGTGTTAATGAAGCTTAATAGATGGGACCAGGTCTTTGGGAGATAAACATTTTAAAGATAAACTTATAGATATGCTGCTGACCAGATTATAATGATCATCAATTTGATTGATGCCAACCTTGATAAACCAACAAGAAACTCTACCTTTATCTGATCAGAGAACACACCAAATAAGAGTAACTCCAATCACATTGACAACACCTTCCTGTGTGGATTCTGTTACTGAAAGAAGCAGAATCAAGTTTTGCAGAGTGTTTAAAACTCTAGTCTGAGGAGACACAGAGATGAAAGCAGGTATTTAAGTAAATTAAACCCGCAAGAGAAATTGGAAAACAATCTAAAACTTAGGTGAGATAACAAAATAAAGGATGTCCGCCATTATTGTCATCCTTCACTGCTATAATTTTTAAAAGCCTTTGACTTGACTTATATATACTATATTTCTAGACAAAAGCAGAACAATTCTATTTAAATGTTTAGGTTTATATTATACCGAGGCATCAAACATCAAGCAAAGGAAAATATTTTTCATTTATACCATATTTAGGGACAATAATGTCAACAAAACACATAGTTTGGGCTCTAAAGAAAAAGTATCTTTGTAATATTTGGTTCACTCTGTTGTGCTAATGATACATTGGCCGGCCGATTAATAAATGTATTCATCATACATGGCTTATGATCGTGTGGACTGCATGCATTGCCGTTCCCTCCATTTGTTATCTATTGTTAAGGTTTTAGTTTAATTTGCTGATAGATCTATTTCATGTTTAAATTGAGACTTTTATGTTATTATTTTTGGAAATTCTAGTAGGTGAAAGAGGGAAGAAAAGTGAGATTTACTCCAATCAGTTAGAATGATGTCAAAATAATCAGCATTGATATCAGACTTTAAAAAAAACAAACAAAAAAAACTGTATTGGTCGATCTCCAGTTACCTTGCAAGCAAGAGGACTTGTTGCAAAATGTGTGAATACACAAACTCTCAAAAATACATCTTACCAGGAGCCAGCATATGCCTTTGCCTTGATGCAGAAAAGTTTCGGATGAAATGCAGTGATGTGAATGTCAACTCGTTAACCAGAGGCGGAATGCTAAGGCAAAACAAACATGGCTGCACCAGTTTTAGCTGAATTACGCTCCATTTCTATTTGAAAATGGGAAAAAGAACGCAATGTTTGCTTTTGTGGATGGGAAGATGGGTGATCGTTCCCCCGACCAGATTTGGTAAGAGTTTGATTTATCAGTTAACTCCACTAGCTGTGGCTGTGATTGGTTAAAAGCCAGACATGGGAAGCAGGAACCCAATCAGCTTGAAGTATTGTACTGAATTTCCCTCCTTTTTGTGAACACTTTCTACAATTTGAATTGTACACGTTCTCAATGGCTTATGCCAGGTTAGATATCTAGTTGTAACCAATAAAAACAGAGAAAAAATATTTTTTTAATTCATCTTACATAAAAAACATGAATTATTTATTATCAACGAATGTAAGAACAGTATTTTTTTTAGAACAGTTTTAGTATAACCTTCACCATTTTGGTTAATCAGAGAAAATAATCCACACATAGCACATTATTAAACCCACTTCTTCACCTTTGTTGGTGACCTGGCATCAGCCCCTCTTGTCTCTGAACAGGATTATGTGAGAACAGAAGAGGGAAGGATGACTGAATAAAGTTCAGCCTCGATTCTACGCTTGTGCCTCCTGGTCGCCATTTGCATACGCTCAGCTGAACAGGCTCAGCTGTCCCTTTAGTCTCTGCTGCAGACACACGTCTCTCTCTCAATGAGCGATTAATTACCAACAAAAAGCTGCGTGTAAATAGAAAAGAAACTGAACAACTTAGCATCTGATCTTGTTTAGATTCCGTTAGTTAGGGGGTGTTTCTCCAGCAAATTGCACTCTGCAGAAAACAGCGGACCAAGGAGCAGATCCAAGGAACAGGGAGGGGACCTGGGAATGTCTTGACGAAATTCTTCCACACACAGATGCAGAAAGCGTATCCATAGCAACCCAGGCTGACCTTACCCACTTCACAGGCCACCCACCCCCTGGCCTCCCTCACAGCTAGCGCCCCACACCAGTTTAATGA